TTTCTCTATGTGAGTACTGGTTATTTTCTGTGATCGTCAACGTTTTCCTTCCATTTTCTACTTGACTTTGATGTCTTTCACGAGAACTTCTCTCATTTCGGCCTTGTTCAAAGTCATTTTTTGTTATTCTGCTTGCTATTATTGTTAGACCATTTTGAACCGTTTGATATACTAGGCTGTAATGATTTTGAAGTTTCCATTGGATGTATTGTGGATAAAAAGTTTTTGCACTTCTTCGAGCTACTAATGAATTGCGTTATATTGTCGCTTTATACTTCCTGTAATTGTTCCAGCTCTGGATTGAAATCTCATGGTATCTAACTTTCAGAATGATTATTCCAATTCGCTGTTTTACTTGTGGGAAGGTAATCGGTAACAAGTGGGAGGCTTACCTTGGTCTGTTATAAGCCGAGTACATTGAGGGTAGGTAAACGTTTCCTTTTTTTACAGCAGGTACGACAACTCACTCTCAATCTCACTTCGTTTTGATCACATCTAGTCAGTCACCCATTTACAGGTGATGCTCTGGATGCATTAAATCTTCGCCGTTATTGCTGCCGACGTATACTACTCTCGCACGTGGATATGATTGAGAAACTTCTGAACTACCATCCTCTGGAAAAGTGATCATTTTATTGGTGTCCAGTTATCGTTCATCCTTTGCCTATTGTGATCGGTTTTGAGCATACAGTTGAAGTCTCACTTCCAGATGTTAATTTGAACAGTTCTGTTAATTTTGATTGTTTCGCGTCACGCAATAAATAAGTTTTCGTCGTTTTCTTTTCGCCACCTAGCGGTTATTATCCGCACTCGTTATTTTTGGTAATCTTCTTGGTAATCTTTTCTCCTTTCCTTTCAGATTCAATCTTACAATTAGTCGAATACCTTATTTCGATCCATATTAGCCGTCTTCTGAAACTAGGGAAACTTTGTCGAAGTGCATTTCCGAACAGAGGCAACAGCCAGGTATAGAAGCGCTCATTTCTCAGTTTACATTTTGCAAATCACCAATTTTCGAACAGCGTGCACGTTCTTCCTCCTTGCTCATTCGTTTATTAACTCTCTTTGATGAAGTCATCATCGTTATTGTCCTTTCTCAGACTTACTTTGACACCGTGTTATTTTCTCATTTTGCGTGGATACGGGAATGGCAATGCATTGACGCAAGTCCATTCTGGACAAAGAGTCCTCCAGCTTTTGGATTTAACCAGTACGCAATAGAGGGCGGAGAAGTCACTATTATCAAGAAAACAAAATAAAACTCCCAAATTGAGCACAAGACGATTGCATGAAACAATAGACAAAAGGTCCATGTACATTCTGAATCTATAGGTGCATAGTGCTAGTTTTGGGGAGAGTGAGATTTTACAAGCCGATCGTTGAAACGAGTACCATTGCTGCTTACAAAGTTGTCGTAAACTTGCTATCTGTTTGTGCAGCAGCATCTGCCTGCTATTGGGCACGCCTTGCTTGCGCTTCAAACGAAGCAAGTGTGAAGATTCTAATAGGAAGCTTCCAGGATTTTTAAGAATTCTGCTAGTAAAGTGCAACAGAAATTATCGCCAACCGTATATATCCTTCTATATTTATAAGATGGAATGGTGCACTTGTCTGTAGACTGGTGTTT